GCATGTGGCCGCATTTAATGCGGCTGTTGGATGGGATGTCTGTACAGGGTACGGTGATCTGTACGCATGTGATGCGGAGATCATGTCGGGAGAGGTGCCCCCGGTCACAGAGGACTAGCCGAGGGCTCTTAGTGCCGAGGACCCCTGCGTGCCGAGGGCTCCTGGTGCCGAGGGCTACTGTTTTCGCCGTTTTCTCCTAGTTTCTTAGTTTGCTTGAGAAACACGTTCTGTGAAAGTCTAGAGCCTTCGGCCAGGGGGTCGAAGGCACCCCTGGTGCGCTGTGGGCTGCTTGGCACTCCGGGCGCCATGTTTTGGGCCTGTTGGGCCTTCTGGGCCTGTTGGGCCTTTACTGGAGTAGTAGGAGTCTGTGGGCCGGAGGTTCCCGGGCCATATACTCCATCATATAACTTATCACATAATGACCTTTTCTAGACATAAAAGAAGTCATATTCATGTTGCATGTTGTGTGCACATATTTCTTTTCACTATTGTCCTTCAAGGACACAATTGATATTATGTTATAACAATGACATCCAATTTTTTCATCAACTGCCACATTACAGAACTTTAAACTATAACAGGAATGTAGTCTCAAAATTATTCAATCTCAAGTATTGTCAGCCCACGTACACAATATCTTGATTTATGGAACTTCACGCCTAATATAAAATATTTTCTCATCCATAAACATCGATCATAATTCACAAAATTTTAGGACTACAGGTCCATCATTTTTCGTCTGGCCAGACTTTAATATTATGGATCATGAATTGATAGTTTTGGAAAAATAAATCATTGACGTCAATATAATAACTATGATTCCTATTTCATCAAAATCCTCCATATGAGCCATAAAAGAGAAATTCATGTTCTTTATCATATAGTTTTCTATAATTTATCAGCTGCAACATTTAACTTATACCATCCTCTTGTAGAGGCATAAATGACTTACTGTAATAAAAACCGATTTTATTCTATATAAACATAATGACCGTCTAACCATGCTTCATGCATTGGTTGAACTCAAACTTTGCAATCATTTATTCCAGTCACTTTGGCAGTTTACTTATCACACTTTACATGTTTCTCTTTTAATATCAATCAATCCTTCTAGGATATTTTTCCGACATTCCAAAATATAATTCTGCTTATGCCTTTATGATCTCCCCCTAATGTCGGGAAATGTGCCACAATATTTCTGAACAAGGATTTACATACATATGGAGCCACTTCTGGGATCCAAGTACATCATTTCGAAAATGGGGTTTTAATATTGGCATATTTTGGCTCATTTTAACGTGTAAAGTCTTGGGAGTTAGTTATTAACAGATGTTGAATTAATATAAACAAGACTTTCTTTATATATTTAGGAACTTTCTAGCAATTTACCTCATGCGAAATGCTAGATATATTTGGTGGGTTATTTTATGCTCTCCACTATATTTCATAGAAGCTAGCAAAGTGGTCTTATACCACTCATTACATGTAGACATTTTAAGAGAGCACATCTTGAGACCAAATTTAATATTAACCCACATTACGAAACTTCAAGTTCACTTAACTCCAATGGATCCATTTTTTCAAATATTGGGAGAATAGACGGTCTTTCCATTTTCTTATCTAAGAAGTATTTATATATTGGATGTCTTATACGACTTTTGGTTAAAACCTGGGTTGACCTTAAATTGGTCATTTATTCAAGATTCTTAAACTTCATGCAACACATGTTTAAATTATTCAAGTATATATAGTATAACATGTGGAGAATTCTGCTACAGGCAGAAATTATGGAAACACAATTTACAATGCGTTGGTATGGTCTCAAACTATCACCCAATAAGTATGATAGCACTTTTCAAACTATTACTTCGCAGTGTTTGAGTAGCTTCTTTGAGCTTACACTTAATGTCTGAGATTTTATCATTAGTATTTATGCGCACAACTTATTTAAAAATATAATTTGTGCTTCCATTACTTTTTATCTCTAATCTGTATGACTATCAAAAGTTAATACATTTCGGGCTCCATGCCACAAGTATATACATGCTTCAGGCATTATATCACCCCTAAGAAGAAAAAAATTTGTCATTAAAATAATCATTTATATAGTGATTTCTTACTTTCATAAAAACAATACGAATCACTCACCTAGAAATGTATATGGAGAGTCTAAAGATTAGATAATGCTACTTCTGGAGTAACATAAAAGGTATCAAATAATCAAATTTGTTAAAGAATACTTAAATGCTTGTCTCAAAGTACTCACATGAAAGAATTTCGTAAAATTTACCTTGACATATAATAAAATATTATCATTATTATACTTCTCAATGTCCGAAAATTAATATAAATAATATTCATTTCAATAATTGAAAACAAGTACAACCCTCAAGTCATGTGCTAAATCTATCCTCTTAGAGTGACTTCTGGCACATCGTTGTAATTTCATATTTTCATTTATGAAATTTTGTTTATTTTCTCCCAGTTGGGTTAATGGCCCGACACAAGGTCGGCCCATCAACCCTTAAGGACCACCCAAGAGCATCTGCTACGGGCTCAAAAGGAGGGTCATGGCCCAAGGACCAGGGGACGTACGTAGTCCAGTATACCCAAGCTTCAGGGCCCAAGGGCCAGGAGATGTACGTAGTCCAACATACCCAAGCTTCAGGGTCCAAGGGCCAGGGGACGTACGTAGTCCAGCATGATCAAGCTTCAGGGCCCCAAGGGCCAGGGGACGTACGTAATCCAGTATGACCAAGCTCCAGGGCCAAGTGCCAGAGGACGTACGTAATCCAGTATACCCAAGCTTCAGGGCCCAAGGGCCAGGGGACGTACGTAGTCCAGTATGATCAAGCTTCAGGGCCCCAAGGGCCACGGGACGTACGTAGTCCAATATGACCAAGCTCCAAGGCCCAAGGGCTAGGCGACGTACGTAGTCCAGCATGATCAAGCTTCAGGGCCCCAAGGGTCAGGGGACGTACGTAATCAAGTATGACCAAGCTCCGGGGCCAAGGACCAGGGAACATACGTAATCCAGTATACCCAAGCTTCAGGGCCCAAGGGCCAGGGGACGTACATATTCCAGCATGATCAAGCTTCAGGGCCCCAAGGGCCAGGAGACATACGTAGTCCAGTATGACCAAGCTCCAGGGCCCAAGGGCCAGGCGACGTACGTAGTACATCATGGCGAGCTTCAGGGCCCCAAGGGCCAGGGGGCGTACGTCTCATGGTTTCTACCCAAGGGATCAGGCTGCCACCAGAAGATTGAGTCCAGCCCTGAGGGACGAACGTCCCCACGTCATGGCGGGAAATCAAGATCCCGGCGGGAAGCGCATTAAATGCGGGAGATTTGGTGGTTGGGATCATGTCGCCCACAGCCAACCACGTCAGCACCCTCAATCATCCATGGGTAGTATAAATAGTCGCATTTATTTCATTGTAAAGGGTTCGCATTCTGACTCTCTAGCATTTATAGCAGCAATTACAGTTCATAGCATAGCATAGTACGTCCGGCCCTTCGGCTTGTAATTGTGTGAGTGATTAAAGTACAGTTGTTGGCCCATTCCCTGTTGTCTATTGATCTTATTTGTCCTTTACCCATTCGAAACCCCCAGATTACATATTGGGCCTGCGGGTTGAGAGAATAAACCTCAACAGAAGGTTTCAAATCTTACGCTACAAGGACGGTGGTTTCCGGGTTCGACCCGTATTTCAATGCTATTACGGGTTTGAACGGGTCTGGCAAGTCGAACATCCTGGATTCCATTTGCTTCATTCTTGGAATTACTAATCTTCAGCATGTTAGAGCTTCGAATCTCCAGGAGCTGGTCTGTAAACAAGGCCAAGCCGGAATTACTAAGGCTACAATTTCTGTCATTTTTGACAACTCGGATCGTAGTAGGAGCCCTTTGGGGTATGAGGATTCCCCAGAAATCACCGTTACTCGTCAGATTGTAGTTGGTGGGAGGAACAAGTATCTAATCAATGGTCACCTAGCTCAGCCAAGTCGTGTGCAGAACCTTTTTCACTCTGTACAACTTAATGTGAACAATCCCCATTTTCTTATCATGCAAGGCCGCATTACCAAAGTCCTCAACATGAAACCCTCCCGGAAGGGGTGTTGAACTTCCGGGCTGCGGCAAATTAACCTCAACACTGGCGTCGTCTGTGAGAATCTTGTTCAAAAAGATTAATGTGTTCTTGAGTCACAAGATAAAAAAATAGAGAAGATTGAAAAATGGGAGAAAGGAGGAAGGGCCGTTCCTCGCTAAAGAAGAAGAAAAAAAGAGAGAAATGGGAGAAGGGAGGAAGAGTCGTTCCTCGCTAAAGAAGAAGAAAAAAGAGAGAAATGGGAGAAAGGAGGAAGAGTCGTTCCTCGCTAAAGAAGAAGGAAAAAAAAGAGAGAAAGAAATGGGAGAAGGGAGGAAGAGCCGTTCCTCGCTAAAGAAGAAGAAAAAAAGAGAGAAATGGGAGAAAGGAGGAAGAGCCGTTCCTCGATAGAGAAAGCAGGGAACGGACAAAGGGAGCTGCAAATAAATAAAGTAGACCGTAAATCGACAAGGGCAAAGGAAGTTTTATTCTTCGGCTCTACTGACCGAGACATTCAAATAAGCAAAATGAAACTAAACAAATCATGCTGTGACACCCCAAAAATTTAAATAAAAATAAAAATAATTTTTATCAGTCAAATAAAATGTTACGGGAATGACATTTTAATTAGTAAGTGAGTCAAACAAAAATTCAACATATGTGACATTGTAATCAGATAAAATTTCCAAGTTTACGATGTTTTAATCAGATAAAAATGGTCCAATAATAGTAGTTACGTTGTAGTATAAAATTAATTTATTATAACTATTTTAAGTTGTATGATATACAAAGTACAAATTTAGTGTAATACACATATATATACACTGTAAATTACACCTAAGTAATATACTAATATACCACGTATACTCCTAATACGATATATATATATATATACTCCTATGTAATATATTAATAATATGAATCGTAGTGTAATAATACAGTTACGGAGATGGTATATAAGTAGGCTACTCAAAACTTATCAGATACTAAAGAAACGGAAGAAACAAGTTGAACAGAGCCTATACGAGAGTTGAACTCCAACTCTAATTCTAACCTACGAAACGTAGATAAAAACGGAACGAGATCAATCACATAAACTCGAGGGAACCCTAGAATACTTCGAGAGCTGTATAAATACTGATCCCAACCTTCACTTTCTTTCACCCAGAGCAGAGCTCGATCAATATATACATACACATATACGTATGCGCGCGCGCACACACACACATATATATCTAATTGCGACCCTTCGTTTTAGCCAGTAACAAGCCCTGAAAACACCTTTGAAATCTTCCCCTTTGTGAGACGAATCCAACAGAGAAAGAATCGTGGAAAATGGATGTCGGAGTAGGGAGCAATAGCTCACCGGGCAAACTTTCACGGCGGAAAACGAGAAAGAGGGGGGATACCGCCGCCGCCGCCAATCCGTTGCTGACCATCCCCGTCCCAGAATTAGTGCTCCGCCGCTGCCGTTTCACGCATCCAACGAGGTAAGCCGTCCCGCCGTTTCCTGCAACTCTCGCCATTTCCGGAATTCACCCGCAAGGAAGACGACCCAGCTTAAAGCTGGGGTCTGTTGTTGGGCCACCTCTTTATTTTATTATTTAGGCCAGTCCGGCCCAGTTGCAAACAAAATTAAAAATAAAATAGTAAATGGAATAAATAAAATATGGAAAAATATAAATTAAATACCTAGTATAAATATACGTATTCGGAACAACCAGAATTGAAAGATATTATTTGTAGCTATTTTTAATTGATTTAATTGTAATTAGGCTAATTTGTACACATTTACTAAATAATTAACTAATGGATGAAAATAATTATGAGATAAATATTGGAGTAAACTAGGATAAATATATGACTAACTAGGACCTTATTGACCATTTATAATTAATAAAATTTAAGACTTAATATATTTAATTGTAATTGAACCGGTTAATAGATATATGAAATTAAGTGAATAATTAAGGAAAATAATTATAAAATAAATATCTGGACAACCTAGGTCAAATATAGACCCAAAATATAGTTATGGATGGTTATTAATTTATAAAGTCAACTCTTAGGCTATTTAGTTTAATCGGGTCATATAAAACTAGTTAAGTAAGTAAATAAGGAGATTTTATATTAATGGTAAAATTGGCTTGATTAATTGATAGTAATCACTTGGATAATTTTTTTTAATTTTTATTTAACATAATTACATAATATTAAATAATAAAAAGGAATTTATGGTATAATTAATAAAAACTAATAAACGAATATCGTACTAAAATAACAAATATTTATTTGGACTTAGTAACATAAGTAGATTAAATAAAATTGGATAGATATCATTATCACTAATTATTGTAATAATTGAAGTAGATAAATAAGTTAACATAATTACGGACTTGGAAATATCAAGTGTTTGAATAATTAATAAAATCAGATTAAATGATGATTAGTTAATTTAAATTCGAATTTACTAAAAATATCGATTAATATATGTTATTTGCGAAATTTGAATGGTTTAATATAATTCAGATATGTCTTAGTAATATTAAAATATAATTTGGATAAAGAAAATTAATGGTGAATTGTAAACTTTAATTATGGAATGTTGAAGTAAATTATATTCGGATATTTTATTATAGAATTCAAATATTATAATGGCTGAATTAATAAAGTAATTTGATTAATAAAAAGTGATTAACTCGATTAATTAATTAACTTAATAAATTCAAAAAAAATAATAAATAAATAAATAAAAGAAGAAAATCGGGTAACTAATTTCAAATAGAATAAGTGACTAATTATATCATCTTAATTAAAAAGGTGATTTTATAGAGACCGGAATTGAGGAAGAGATTAGGAGCACCAGGACTTAAGGTAAGTTCTATGTCAACCAAAATCTCTACTTTTCCCTCTTAAATATATGTATGAGTTCATTTGAATTATTTGAGTATTTTATACTTCATGAGATTTTTTGTATTTAAATTTATGTATTGTTTGTGATTGGAAATTTTGTTGGTTATAATATTGGAGATTGGATGATTTTATTTTTGAGTATTTGAATTTACGTATGAATCGTTATGTGGATTGAGACTCGAGCTATTTATGAATTATTGTATATTTTGAGCACTTTGAGAAATTTCGATCTTAGAGTTTAAAGGATAAAGTAACCCGTATTTCGGAAAACTATATGTATGTGTGATAGCTATGAAAGTTTGGAATATACTAAAAATAACAATATTTTATGGTGTTTGAAAAGGTGAACTATTTTGTAAATTGTGAGTTACATTTTTTTAGGATATGTCTATGTGATGATTTTACTGTTGAATAAATTAAATTTGGGGAAGTTACGTTAGTAGTAAACCCCTGCAATTTTTGGAGATTAATAAAGATAAAATGAACCTTTCAATGTAAGGGCATCACGGGAGAAATCCGGGGTGTCGGTGTCCTCCACGACCTTGACTGTGGAGAGTGATTAGGGCTGCTATTACTTGTCTACTCATAAAGAGTTGTTATGTCGGTGTCCACGACCTTGACTGTGGAAAATTACTATGTTGGTGTCCACGACCTTGACTGTGGAGAGTGTTAAAATTCGAGCAAAAGACCCTGTTATTCAGTAGTAGCAGTAACCTAGTCACTTATATAGGGTAATCCCTTTTGGGTGGAGTAGGGGGACGTTGACGTCCGAACTACTTGGACTTCTTACTACCCGTAGGGCTTGGAATCCCTTTCACGGGGTGTGCACACTTAAGGTAGATGTTCAGTTTCCTCAGGTTAAAAGTGGTACCAACAAAAGTCCCGGGGTGGCCGTACATAACAACGGACAATCGGGCTCAATTAAAAATATTGAGCACCGCCCTTCGAAATTACTTAGGGACCTTAGTATAAAAAGTTGGAGAAAATATTTTAGTACTTTACTCGTAAGAGTTGTTAAAGTACTTGTTTGGAGAAATACTATTTAGTTGAATGAAATTTAAAGTTATTTTGAAGACTAATAATTTAAGGAAATGATATTTTCACCCTACTATGTGAATTACTTCTTGTTCATAAACGTATTTTGAAAAATGATGTATTTAGCTCTTATTTTGAGAAATGAGGTATTTATAGTGTTTGAATTATTATTTTAATTAAAAATGTGATTTTGAATTATACAAGTTTATTTTGAGTTATAATTGTTATTTGAATAATAAAATTATTTATGGATTCCCGAAATACAAATATTTTTGGATTTGATTTGGGTTGATTATGTTGAATATTGTTCACAAGTAGTTATAAGTATTTTAAGATGAATATTGGTGATTGATTTATACTTTGGAATAATTGTGAGAATATTTGATGGTTTATGTACATTGGTATTTTGGAATTTTATAGTTTGAAATAAATACTTATATTTGAAATATTAATATTTTACATATGAATTGTGTTATGAGAATATTTTGTATATATTGTTTTACTTATGATTTATATAAAATGTTTTGAAAAAGGTTTCCTCCAAAATGTTTTACAAAAATATATCAAACGTGATTATTTTACGGGGTTGGATGGGACTTACTAGCATTTCCGGCTAATTTTGTTTATTTGTGTTTTTCTTTCTGTACTTGATTTGTACATGTGTTGAGTTGATCCTATTGAAGTTGATTTCGAGAGAGCTTCCGCTAGAAAACATAATTAGTAAATAATTGTATATTTTAATTTCAAGAACTCTAGTTAATTATTATTTTTTTGAGTTAAATTCTTTGAGAGGTGGTTAGCCTGTGCACTCGGTTAGGTTAGTGCCGAGTGTGGCGGTAACGCCCCTATTTCCCGTGAATTTTCCGTTGCACAATTCTGATGTTTTCAAAGAAAGTTAATAAATAATGTTTTATTTAAAGGTATTTTTGGGTGGGAAATTTGGGGGTGTTACACATGCAAGGAAACCATGGGGGGGGGGGGGGGGGGGGGGGGGGTTCGGAGGGCTGCGGCTCTTCCAGCTCATCAAAGAGAGGCTCGGGTGTCGGGGGATCAGGAATTTCACCCCTCTGAACGGCCTCGGCACGCCGCTGATCTCGGTCAATCTTCCCCATGACCCGCCGAAGCTCCGCTCCCTCCGTATAGTCCTCCACATTAAAAGGGGCAGCCGGCCAGAGGTAGGACACTCTTGAGGGCCTTAACACCCTCATAATACCCCTTGGCTCTGCAAGCCATTCACCACCGAGCACAGTTTTCTGTAAAAGCCGCACCCCATGAGATAAACGATCTCTTTTCGGCACAGGCTGCAGCTCGGCCTCGAAGATTTTTCCAGCGGCTCCCCGACAGTATTCATGAGCGGCCTGAATGAACTGGGATGTCTTCTTAAACTCCTCCACGTTAAGGACCAGGGTCAGAATGTCGTCGGGGGAAGGCCCGCCTTTAGGATGCGGGGAAGGGTCTCCAACGGGGACAAAGGAAATCCCATGCTTCTCGGCTGGGGCCAACTTGGAAAGAAGACCTTGCTTCTCCTGTTGGCTCAGAGTCCGGACGGCATGGAGCTCCTGTTTGGCCTGAGCCAAGGCAGACTGGACTTTCTCCATCTCCGCCTGGGCAGCCTCCCGCAGCTGCACGGCCTCCCGCTCTTTCTTCAAAGCCGCATCGGCTTTCCTCTTGAGCTCAGCAAGATCCCTCTCCCGAGCGGCCCTTGCCCGCAACATGGCTAGCCCAGCCTATAAAGAAGAAGAATAAGGAGTCAGGAGGGGACGGATAGCGGATCAGATGGCAAGAGGGAAGTGAGAGGAACGTACCTCAAGGTTCAGGAGCAGGACATGATCGACGGAATCGCCGGGAGAACGGTTCGACAGCTCCAATCCGGCCTGAAGGGCCATATCCTTTCAGATCTCAGAAATCGGACAGACGGCGGGGGCCAGTACAGTGTCAGCAGGTTTGGGGCCGGAGGGCTCGATGCACGGCCTTTTCGGCTTCTTCCCTTTATCCTTTTCCCCGCCAGCAGGGACAGCAACGCCGATCGGATCCACATTTAGAACCCGATTGTCTTGGGTAGGCTGGGCTTCAGAATTCTGCCCAGTCACCTCGGCCATCAGAAGCCTCTTGGCGTCTGCAACACGCTTGTCCGCCTGAGACGCGGCGGAAGAGTTAGCCTCAGAGGACTGAGTGGCCCCACGAGCTTTCGCCAGCACCGCTCGTTCCTTGTTGGCCTTGGCCTCACGATGGGCTACCATGGCTTCACGATCCATTTGTTCCTGAGTGGGAGGAAGACCTGAAATAGAGAAACAACATTAGAACCGGGCGGTGCGAATCACAAAGGCACTCACCTCAGGGAATGGACTGCCCGGGCCCACAAGATGAACACGAGAGAATGTCAGTCTAGGGATCACAGGCGGTACCTATCCCTGCATCGGAGAGTGCCTGAATGGTCAGGAGGTCCTTCAGCTTTTTAATGCCGCCTAGCTTTAGCTTATCCACGGCATTTTGCAATTCCTGGGTCAGCTCTGGCGTCTTAATCTTCGGGGGATACCCATTCCACCTAACAAGAAGCCGGTCGTCCGCATAACGAATGAAGAAAAAACGATTCTTCCAATCATGGATGGAAGTGGGAGCCCGTTCGAACAACTTCTTTTTGGGACGAGCGGCCACGCACAGAAACCCATCGGCGTTTTGAGGGGTGACTTGGAAGAAATAATGGAAAAGTTCCAGAGTAGGGGTGAGCCCTTTTGATTTACAACGAACGATGAGACGGTATGAGTTTGGCATGAATTGGACCGGAACAACACTATAAAAGTCGAAAAAGTCAAGATAGAACGGGTGGAGTGGGAAGCGCAGCTCGGCCTTTATTGAATCCATGTGCACCATCACCATGCCCGGACGCCTTCTAAAGAGGTTGTCCGCACCCCGGAGGCTGTAGTAAAATGGTGGGGGGAGAAGTGTCTGCAGCTCCCTCAGGGCCCTCCTAGAGAAGACCTGATCGAGCACGGCGACGTTGGGGATAAGCACTATGTGCCGGTGCTGATCCATGGGGACACCAAGCTTGAATGCTTGGAGATCATCCCCCTCCTCAGCCTCTTCGCTAGAGTCAGAATCGGCTGAGTGCTCCACATCCACGTCAGGTTGCGCTACCACCGTTATGGCGTTCTCAGGAACGGCGTCCATGTCAACATACTCCTCTGCATCCGAGGCCGCGGCATCATCTGTCGCCACATGGATCTCCACTATGGAAGCGTTGGAACGGCCAGAACTACTTGTTCCCTCCGAAGAACAGGACCTAGGGCTCGCCGCGGAAGAGGACCCCGCAGTAGAACCGGAAGAAGAGCCAGAACCAGTATCCGAATCGGAGGAGATCTCCATGGAGCAGGCCATGGGGAGGATTGCGAGAAGAAAGGGGGAAGAGTTGGATCAGAGAATTACCTTACAGAGCCTTGAAAGAGGGACGAACGCGGAAACCAGGGACCCTCGCTGAACAACGCTGGAAAATTGGAAAGAAGCAGAGGATAACAAACTCTAACCCTACCTGCGATTCTAGTATTAATAAAGGGGAGGCGCCTCTTCAGTGGCCAACCCACGGATGACACATGGCGAGGAGCGTACCCAGGGACACGTGTCATGTTGGGACGGGCATGTACAAAATGATTACTTTTGCATCGGAAGTTGAACCGGCCAGGATAACTGCCACCAAGAGCCCCGTGAACAACGGCGGGGAAGCAACCGTCACTTTGGGGGAAGGGGGACAATGGCTCAAAGCGGTATGGCGGGAGCTAATTACTTCATCATGCCCCGCGCACGCTCGGAACATCATAAGTGGGGGACTTGTGTTGGGTTAATGGCCCGACACAGGGTCGGCCCATCAACCCTTAAGGACCACCCAAGAGCATCTGCTACGGGCCCAAAAGGAGGGTCAGGGCCCAAGGACC